TGTTGGTCATGTTGTCACGTGATATGGTCAGTACCAGAGCCGCTATGTTGTACCCAGTTCGCCTTGTGTTTACCGTACTCCGTCCTGTATCGATCGATATATGACCTACTTCTGTCCACTTCGATTACTCAATGTTTTCTCTTGTTTGGTCCTTGTGTAAAGTCTTAAGGACAAACTTTTATGTAAAACTCGACATTAGTTTGGTCCTTGTGTAAAGTCTTAAGGACAAACTTTCATGTAAAACTCGACATTAGTTTGGTCCTTGTGTAAAGTCTTAAGGACAAACTTTCATGTAAAACTCGACATTAGTTTGGTCCTTGTGTAAAGTCTTAAGGACAAACTTTCATGTAAACTCGACATTAGTTTGGTCCTTGTGTAAAGTCTTAAGGACAAACTTTTATGTAAAGCTCGACATTAGTTTGGTCCTTGTGTAAAGTCTTAAGGACAAACTTTCATGTAAAACTCGACATTAGTTTGGTCCTTGTGTAAAGTCTTAAGGACAAACTTTTATGTAAAACTCGACATTAGTTTGGTCCTTGTGTAAAGTCTTAAGGACAAACTTTTATGTAAAACTCGACATTAGTTTGGTCCTTGTGTAAAGTCTTAAGGACAAACTTTTATGTAAAACTCGACATTCGTTTGGTCCTATTGTAGTCTTAAGGAATAGAGTCAAGTGAGAAATTCAAGTCGGAAACAGCTAACCGTTACTTTTTGCCACCAATATTTGAAAAATCATGGTTTTGTGGTGTAATCATTAAACAGAAGAGCTCATACATACGGACAATCAACATACAAAAGATAATGGATTGCGCTAACGTGTTGATTTGTATACAGGTATTGGTCTTTATATACAGGTATTGGTCTTTGTATACAGGTATGGTCTTTGTATACAGGTAGTGGTCTTTGTATACAGATATTGGTCTTTGTATACAGGTAGTGGTCTTTGTATACAGGTATTGGTCTTTGTATACAGGTAGTGGTCTTTGTATACAGGTAGTGGTCTTTGTATACAGGTAGTGGTCTTTGTATACAGGTATTGGTCTTTGTATACAGGTATTGGTCTTTGTATACAGGTATTGGTCTTTATATACAGGTATTGGTCTTTATATACAGGTAGTGGTCTTTGTATACAGGTAGTGGTCTTTGTATACAGGTATTGGTCTTTGTATACAGGTATTGGTATTTATATACAGGTAGTGGTCTTTGTATACAGGTAGTGGTCTTTGTATACAGGTATTGGTCTTTGTGTACAAGTAGTGGTCTTTGTATACAGGTATTGGTCTTTATATACAGGTAGTGGTCTTTGTATACAGGTATTGGTCTTTGTATACAGGTATTGGTATTTATATACAGGTAGTGGTCTTTGTATACAGGTAGTGGTCTTTGTATACAGGTATTGGTATTCATATACAGGTAGTGGTCTTTGTATACAGGTAGTGGTCTTTGTATACAGGTATTGGTCTTTGTATACAGGTAGTGGTCTTTGTATACAGGTAGTGGTCTTTGTATACAGGTATTGGTCTTTGTATACAGGTATTGGTCTTTGTATACAGGTAGTGGTCTTTGTATACAGGTAGTGGTCTTTGTATACAGGTAGTGGTCTTTGTATACAGGTAGTGGTCTTTGTATACAGGTAGTGGTCTTTGTATACAGGTATTGGTATTTATATATAGGTAGTGGTCTTTGTATACAGGTAGTGGTCTTTGTATACAGGTAGTGGTCTTTGTATACAGGTAGTGGTCATTGTTTAACATCGCTTGGTGCAATAAGTTTAGGTCTACAGGCATTAGATCTGAATTGAGTGTGTCCTCCATATGTCGTGTGGCCCACACGGACCTTTGACCCACATCAACCATGTGACCCACATCAACCATGTGACCCACATCAACCATGTGACCCACATCAACCATGTGACCCACATCGACCATGTGACCCACATCGACCATGTGACCCACATCAACCATGTGACCCACATCAACCATGTGACCCACATCGACCATGTGACCCACATCGACCATGTGACCCACATCAACCATGTGACCCACATCGACCATGTGACCCACATCAACATGTGGCCCACATCGACCGTGTGACCCACATGACCGTGTGACCCACATCGACCGTGTGACCCACATCGACTGTCTGACCCACATCGACTGTCTGACCCACATCAACATGTGACCCACATCGACCGTGTGACCCACATCGACCGTGTGACCCACATGACCGTGTGACCCACATCAACATGTGACCCACATCGACTGTCTGACCCACATAGACCACGTGACCCAGACCTTTGTGTTCCCAGGTGCGGTGTGTTATGACCATTGCTTGACGGCTGGATCATATCATGTTGGATGTGATATGACGTACGGACGTGCTGTTGTCCCAACCCGACAGACCTAGCCCTGTGATGTAACATCAAAACCTACTCGACATGTTTTCTATGGTAGGCTCACCACAAACTGAAGGCACGATAGACTTCAGTACCATTGGCTTGCCGCTAAAAGCGTGGTATATTTCAGTCATTTCAGTGTGGACAGCCTCCTCCAAATACACACGAATCTTCAGAGCAATGACACCCTCCACCAAATACTCAAGAATATGCTACCAATGACGATAGAGAAAGTAAAATTATGCTACCAATGACGATAGAGAAAGTAAATTTATGCTACCAATGACGATACAGAAAGTAAAATGTATGCTACCAATGACGATACAGAAAGTAAAATGTATGCTACCAATGACAATACAGAAAGTAAAATGTATGCTACCAATGACGATACAGAAAGTAAAATGTATGCTACCAATGACGATACAGAAAGTAAAATGTATGCTACCAATGACGATAGAGAAAGTAAAATGTATGCTACCAATAACGATACAGAAAGTAAAATGTATGCTACCAATAACGATACAGAAAGTAAAATGTATGCTACCAATAACGATACAGAAAGTAAAATGTATGCTACTAGTGACGATTCAGAAATTAAAATTATGCTACCAATGACAAGCCTATATAGAGATAAATGATTACCCTTCTCCCATCTACATTAGCAACATCTATCAAACTCTTCATTAAAACTTCTTTTATTAGACCATTTGATTAGCCTAACACATTGGTGACACACAAATCTCCACCATTACATTCAAGTGATTTCAACACAAGTTGAAGGGTAAAGGTCGCCGTCTGTAAGGAGATTCGGCAGCTGCCCCAGTCAACTCACGTATAAAGGGGAGCAGATCCCAGTTGACTAGTAACAATTTGGGTAGCCTCATCCTTGTACGTGGTTGTCACAAGTTTTAGGTAGCCTCATCCATGTACGTGGTTGTCACAAGTTTTAGGTAGCCTCATCCATGTACGTGGCTGTCACTAGTGTTAGGTAGCCTAAATGTACGTGGCTGTCACAAGTTTTAGGTAGCCTCATCCATGTACGTGGCTGTCACAAGTTTTAGGTAGCCTCATCTATGTACGTGGCTGTCACAAGTTTTAGGTAGCCTCATCCATGTACGTGGCTGTCACAAGTTTTAGGTAGCCTCATCCATGTACGTGGCTGTCACAAGTTTTAGGTAGCCTCAATGTACGTGGCTGTCACAAGTTTTAGGTAGCCTCATCCATGTACGTGGCTGTCACAAGTTTTAGGTAGCTTGACGAAAATAAAAACAGGTGATTGATGAATATGTAAAACAAGTTTTAAATTTAAAGATAGCCCAAGAACATAACCGTGTTTCACTAGACCGGATTTGATGCCAAACTTGAGATAAGACGAAGAAAAACCAACAAGCATACAAACAAGATCGTTCATGTCTTATACAACAAATCTGTGGTCCTTCGTAGACTTGACCACATCTGTGGTCCTTTGACAAATCTGTAGTCTTACAAGGGACGACATCTCTGTGGTCCACTTGATAGGTGTGTCCACAAAATGAAGAAGTAAAGCACAATGTCAACACGCTGGCGTCAGACACGTGGTGACAGTGGACACAGGAGGGCCAGACTTGACCTCTGACACCAGGCCAGGCTTGACCTCTGACCTCACAAAATGTTAGATGTCTGACAGTGGTAGAACAGTTAGAAGATAGGGCCCACAGTTTTACATGTGGACACGAACCAGAGTTTCTTCCAGGTATCTCTTCGGGGGGGGGGGGGGCAGAGCTCAGTATCCGCCCCCCCAACCCCGAAAATCTTGACGCACCCCCCTCCCCCGAAAATATCAAGTACCCCCCCTCCCCCGGAGAAAAAAGTTTGGAAGAAACACTGAAATGAACACACATTACAAGCACTCTCACACCCTTTCACTTTTACAGTTTGTTCACTAAACTGTATGTGGTCCACTATAGTGTATGTGGCCTACTAAACTGTATCTGGTCCACTAAACTGTATGTGACCCACAAACCGGTATGCGGCCCACTAAACTGTCTCTCGTCCATTAAACTTTATGTGGTCCACTGAACTGTATGTGGTCCACTAAACTGTATGCGGCCCACTAAACTGTCTCTCGTCCATTAAACTTTATGTGGTCCACTGAACTGTATGTGGTCCACTAAACTGTATGCGGCCCACTAAACTGTATGCGGCCCACTATACTGTCTCTCGTCCACTAAACTTTATGTGGTCCACTAAACTGTATGTGATCCACTAAACTGTACGTGGTCCACTAAACTGTATGTGGCCCACTAAACTGTGGTCCACTAAATTGTATATGGTCCACTAAACTGTATGTGGTCTACTAAACTGTATGTGGCCTACTAAACTGTACGTGGTCCACTAAACTGTATGTGGTCCACTAAACTGTACGTGGTCCACTAAACTGTATGTGGTCCACTAAACTGTATGTGGCCCACTAAACTGTGGTCCACTAAATTGTATATGGTCCACTAAACTGTATGTGGTCTACTAAACTGTATGTGGTCCACTCAACTGTATGTGGCCCACTAAACTTTGTGTGGCCCACTAAACTGTATGTGGTCCACTAAACTGTATGTGGTCTGGCCCACAGAGACTAGAGAAGATTGCCGACATCTGGGACCTCGCCAAGGCCGAGGTGGAGCACGACCAGCAGAAGGTCCTGAGGCAGAAGGTCCTTCTCCAGCGGGCACTCATCGCAGCCCAGGACGCCAGGGCCCAGCAGCTCAGGGAGGAGGAGGGGGACGTCAAGTTCAAGGTCGGTCTCATTTGTTCTCACGTTAGCGCTATTATGGCACCAGAGTTTCTTTCAGGCATCTATTCGGGGGGGGGGGGGGGCAACCCCCCCCCCCCCCCCGAAATTTTTTTAACGCCCCCCCCCCCACCCCGAACGAAATGAAATTTATATAATTTATATAGAAAATATATACTTTTAACAGTGTCCGCCCCCCCGAAGAAAGTCTACCGCCCCCCCCCCCGAAAATTTCAAGTGCCCCCCACCCCCCCCCCCCCCCGGAGAAAAAAGTCTGGAAGAAACACTGTATGGCACTTGTGACGTTAGCACACTTAAGATTGTCACATTAGCACACCGAATGTCAAATTGTCACGTTAGCCCACCAATGTCAAATTGTCACGTTAGCGCACCAAATGTCAAATTGTCACGTCAGCACTAATACACAATGTCACGTGTCTCCTATTTCTAAGACTAAATATACACCGTGTTGTCTGGTGTGTCTTCTGTTGAGTGTCTTCACTTCTGAAGGCGGGGCTACATGCTTATGCTTCTGGCTAGACCGATGGTCAGAAGGTTGTGGGCGGGACTAGCCGTATGTGGGCGGGGCTAGACGGCTGTAGACGTGGCTATGCGACTGGGCGGACAGAAGATGATTTTCTTAGGCTAATGGAAATGGGTTAAGGTGAACAATTTGGACGGGTATTCGATTTGTCGATCGAATTTCGTTTATTTGATGAAACAGCGCCACTGGTGGGGGAGGGGAGGGGTGCAGGCATCGTCGCGAGATGAGATAAGGTAGGGTGGGGAGGGTGAGGATTTAGGAGAGTTTGAGGGGATAATTGGGCGATGACCTGTTTTTTTTTTTTTTTAAAGGAATAAAGGCGAATTCTTAAATAGAAAGTGCTAAAAAATAAAGATGTTGGATTTGTGTGAATCGGATAAGAAATGGATTGGTGTTTCCACTAGATATATTAAAGAGTCACAAGATAGTTACTGGATATCCTTGAAAGACAGTTACCGTGATCAGTGACCTACTAAAAGGCGATAGTAACGATCATTACAAGTAGCATGTCGCTTGACCTACTTTTTTTTACAGTCGTCATGGTAATGATGGCTGCCGAAAACAACGATATCGTGATTCCGTTTTTTAACAATGTTTTATGGTCATTTCAGAAATATATACTTAAAATCGTTATTTTTGCGTATTATTCTACGATACCAGTCTAGTTTTAACAATGGACGATTAGTGTTTGATGCAAACTTGCCATTTGTACATTTTTAGCGCAATTTTCATTCTGGAGAATTGCGTTTATTAACTCGTCTTTTCTGGGAATGAATGGATGGATGGATGTGTGTCCGCAGCTTTAAGTCGTATCTCCTCCTCAACGAAGCAATATCGAGGACTAGTTCCAAAAGCAATTATGTTAAGCAAGTTACGAGGATGAACATAGGCCATAAAAATTCCGGGTTTCTTTCATGGATTTCCCGAAAAAGCCAAAAAACCTCGAAAAAATGCAGTTTTTGGCCCATATCTCGGCAACCAGACCACTTAGCGACTTAAAACATGTACCAATCGATTTCTGCCATAATTTAGAACAATATTGCTGAAGAAAGTTTTCAAAAATATCCTTTCGTTTGGTCACAAAAAAAATTTTGAATTAATTAAAATTTGGACCGAATTAGTAGGCATTTTATGCAACCACACCACACGCGTCATCACGTTCAATAGCTGCGCCATCACGTTCAATGGCTGCGACGTCACGTTCGGTAGCTGGGCGCGCAATGGTTTTTAGTCATGTTACTCTATTGTAAATAAAACATGTAAAATACTGAAAAAAAAATTAATAAAAAACGTTTTAATAACTAACCAATGGTTTTACTAACCCTGCTCTTGATTTACGCTACGACAGAGCTATTTTTAGATAACACAAGGAAATTGCGCTAAAATTGTCACTAGACTTTTTTTAATTACTTGTTTGGTCTAATCGCTGAAAATATCGAGCAGAACTTAATAAAAGTAAGCATAACGTGAATTGCTTTATTTAATATTGTTGTAACCATGCTGAAAATATATTCTAAATTATAGAAAATTATAACTTGCTTTCTACTAAACTAATTCCATTAATGTTTTAAAAATCGTGCAGGGTAAAAACAAAACCTATAAAAAATAATTTGATGGAGACAACAGCTAACTAAGCCCGCCCATTTTGCCCGCCGTGTATTTGAATGGGGAGAACTCTAGCAGACGACACATTTCTGCTGAACGGCAGAGAACGGTCAATTGCGTAACAACAACACTCCTTTAAAAACTAACCCACCGTATAACTGAAAATTAATCACATCATCGTAGCCATTTTTTTTTTAAATGCGTTTTTTTTCACAAATAATTTTCTAGGCTACCGATTAGATTCGATAAATAAAATTAGTATCAAATTAAAGGTAAATAAATGTAGGCTTTGTTTAAGTTATCTTGAACAATAATGAAGTTTAAAATCTTAAGCGACACTCTATTGCTAGTGGTCATCATGTGACCTAATTCTATATTAGAATGGTCACTACCCGATCAATACAAGTGGTCGTCATGTGACCTATTTAAATATTACAGTGGATAATTAGATGACCTATGAATGTAGAACACCTGAACTGCCTTTAATCCAAATGTCTACCACCCCCCCCCCCCCCACACACACACAAAACGTATGTAAAAACAACGAAAGCTCCCGTTTGTTTTGCTGAGCTCAAATGGATCTATAAATCCATTTCCTAGGAATAGCAGTATAAAATGTTCAGCCTGCAATAATTCTAATTGATTAATTATTCAGGGGAGGGAACGCGAGTTTGATTACCGTCCCTGCCTCCATCTAGCCTTGCAGCTAAATGAACATGCATGTCTAGTTTTTACAGTGGGAGGGGGGGGGTATGAAGAGTGGGGCGGGGAAGAGAGGAGTGGGAGTAGGAGGGATGATTGAGTAGTAGAGAGAGGCAGTTAAATGGGAGGAGCTTGCAAGGGGGGGGTGGTAGCAGGGAAAGGAGGGTTTTGTTTGGTGATCATTCATAGAAAAATGTAATTAGGTCGAATAAATTAAAAACGAATTCTTTTGACCCAAATTGTTTTGTGTTATTCGCTGCCACCCCCTATTTCTTCCACCGTCTAACTCAGCTTTCCCCAGCCCTCCCTCGCGTCACAGCCTCTCCCCATCCCTCCATCTCATCCTCTCCTCATCCCTCCATCACATCCTCTCCCCATCCCTCCACCACAGCCTCTCCACATCCCTCCATCACAGTCTCCTCATCCCTCGTGTCCCAGCCTCTCCCTATCCCTCCATTACAGCCTCTCCCCATCCCTCTCTCACAGCCTCTCCCCATCCCTCCATCACAGCCTCTCCCCATCCCTCCATCACAGCCTCTCCCCATCCCTCTCTCACAGCCTCTCCCCATCCCTCCATCACAGCCTCTCCCCATCCCTCTCTCACAGCCTCTCCCCATCCCTCTCTCACAGCCTCTCCCCATCCCTCCACCACAGCCTCTCCCCATCCCTCCACCACAGCCTCTCCCCATCCCTCCACCACAGCCTCTCCCCATCCCTCTCTCACAGCCTCTCCCCATCCCTCCATCACAGCCTCTCCCCATCCCTCTCTCACAGCCTCTCCCCATCCCTCCATCACAGCCTCTCCCCATCCCTCCACCACAGCCTCTCCCCATCCCTCTCTCACAGCCTCTCCCCATCCCTCCATCACAGCCTCTCCCCATCCCTCTCTCACAGCCTCTCCCCATCCCTCTCTCACAGCCTCTCCCCATCCCTCCACCACAGCCTCTCCCCATCCCTCTCTCACAGCCTCTCCCCATCCCTCTCTCACAGCCTCTCCCCATCCCTCCATCACAGCCTCTCCCCATCCCTCTCTCACAGCCTCTCCCCATCCCTCCACCACAGCCTCTCCCCATCCCTCCACCACAGCCTCTCCCCATCCCTCCATCACAGCCTCTCCCCATCCCTCTCTCACAGCCTCTCCCCATCCCTCCATCACAGCCTCTCCCCATCCCTCTCTCACAGCCTCTCCTCATCCCTCTCTCACAGCCTCTCCCCATCCCTCCATCACAGCCTCTCCCCATCCCTCTCTCACAGCCTCTCCCCATCCCTCCACCACAGCCTCTCCCCATCCCTCTCTCACAGCCTCTCCCCATCCCTCTCTCACAGCCTCTCCCCATCCCTCCATCACAGCCTCTCCCCATCCCTCCACCACAGCCTCTCCCCATCCCTCCACCACAGCCTCTCCCCATCCCTCCACCACAGCCTCTCCCCATCCCTCCATCACAGCCTCTCCCAACCCTCCATCACAGCCTCTCCCAACCCTCCACCACAGCCTCTCCCCATCCCTCCACCACAGCCTCTCCCCATCCCTCTCTCACAGCCTCTCCCCATCCCTCCCTCATGTTACAGCCTCCCAGTCCTCACATCTGCCCCCCCCCCCCCCCCATCCCCAGCGAGAACAACTCGACTAGTTATAGATCGCCCAAGTTCAGCATGTTGGTATCGACCTGTTTGTGGTGGGTGAAAAAATACCCACCAGCCACCAGCCTTGTGGGTGGGTTGTTTTTTTGTTAGCAAGAATTAATGTCTGTCAAATTGTGGTAAACTTTTCTGTTTTTGTTGGTAAACCGCAACTTCGAAGTGTTTTTAAAGTGGGCATTGTTCAATCAACTTGACCCAATTAATATAATTAGAACGTGACCTCCTTTCTGCTGACCTTTCACGCAAGCGGACAACATCCATACAAGATCTAATGACTAGTTTTCCTATTGATTGATTGATTTTTCTCTGTAACATATCGATTGTTAGGGCCTCATTGTCAGCGGGTTGTGTTATCCAATCCTGCTGTCATCTGTCTTCATCGTACTGCTGTCTTCATTGTATTCACCACCCTACTGCCTACACCGTCCTGCTGTCGTCTGTCTTCATCGTACTGCTGTCTTCATTGTATTCACCACCCTACTGCCTACACACCCTGCTGTCATCTGTCTTCATC